TAAATGGGCTCTCACCTCTACACCAATACTTTAAACCTAACTCAGGTTGACTTTTTACTGACTTAACACCACTGACACCCATCTTTATGAATAATACACATAAAGCAGAAGAGAGCTCAGCTAAAAGTGATGTAAAAGCCTATGGACATTTGCTACCTCATGTCATACAATCTATTTGAATGCTTCAAACAGCATCTTCCTGCTAAAATCGAGTTTTGTTTTTCCTCTAAACATTTGCAGTGCCCTATTAAAAGACAGGCTACGTCTCCACTGCAGAGCAGACTGAAGTGCTTCTGTGGGTTATACACCAACCTTCTGCCATTTATACGCAAAAACCTTTTCCTGGGTTCAGACCCACCTAAGGTGGCAAAAGGGCCTAAGGTTCCAGGCTGCTGTTGCTATAATGGCGGTGGTGGCAACAGGAGCCCCAAGCCCTTTAAATTGCCACAAAAGCCCTGGACTGCGTGCTCTGGGTGGTGGTGAGATCTGCCTGGGGTTAGCTCCTAGACCCACCCCCTTCTGCAGGCATGGAGCTGGCCACCCCCCACCTTGTTCAGGTGCCTAGCAATTCTGTCAGCCTGAGTCTGGAAGCACTTTAAAGCCCAGTATAGCTGACGTGGCTGAAGGATGGTGGGGTGGTTTAGACCCTGTGCTCTGCTGAATGTTGGTCAGGAACCTGCCCATAGGCTAAATTATGCACTGGAGTGCTGATAGCTCTCTTGGGCTGCTCCACAATTCCCCCATATGACAGACCAGTTCTCCTTTCCCAATCAATTGCAAAATCCTAGAACATCTCAATACAAAGGACCACAGGACACCAGGGAGAATGCAGAACTGGTGAGGACACAGTAATACAGGTAGACCTTTGCTGTGGTGATGCTCACACCCAGATTGGACTACCCCAGGTGCCAATCATCCAGGCTAATTCTACTATGAAGACATCACTTAGGGTATTGGCTAGACTGCGGGAGGAGGGTTGGGGTACTGGAGGTACCGGTATCCCAAAAAAACTGCTGCATCCAGGGAACGCATGTGCTCTTCCACTTTTTTTGTGTGGAAGAGCAAACGCACTCATTTGGAAGTCCCTGTATTCCTCATTCTATGAGGAAGAAGGGGGCTTCTGAAAGAGGGTTTTTTTTTTTTTGACATTTGGCCCAGTGCATTGTGTGTACCTTTTTCCGACAAAAACTTGCAGTCTAGCCATTCCCTAAGTGTCAGCCCCATGAAGGTTTTCAATGTAATAATACTTTGCCTTCCCACTGAGGCTCTTGAAGTACTTTCTGAATACAAATAAGTCAAGCTGCACAACATCCAGATACTGTACCCATTTTACAGATGGGCAGACTGAAGCATGATTTATCCAAAGTTACACACAATGAGTCAGTGGCAAGGCCAGGAATATAAACTAGGACACACACAACTCCCATTTACTTCAGGATCATCAGGCCCCAGGATTACTGACTCTCATATCCTATGCTCTTAACTATTACCCAGCACATTAACATCAGTTTTCTTAGAGCCAGTTCACTGATTGCAACACAAGGAGATCTGATCACCAAATCAGCTAGTTCTTACAGTCAAAGGTTTAGCTCCCACAGCCAAGACTGATGGAGGGAAAGTAGCAATAAAAACTAACAGCATTGTTCATGCTCACTTTTATGTAACAGGCAAAGGTAATAGCACTGAAGGCACAAGCCGAATTTCTTTTACATTCACAATATCTATTTTAATATTTAACTTACTGTGATAAGTACTGTACAAAACTCTTGACCGACAATCTCGATACTTGTTTCCTGTCCATTTTACTTGTGAACAAGTGTTTTAAGGTCTGACCTTAAGGTCTGCATTATCACAATTGGCACTGCTGATTTTCATGCAATCTTGTATGCATAGTTTCAGCTACTCCTTACCTATTATCAGTGTATCACATGAGAGTCTTTGGCTAAATTCCTTTCCAGTATAACTGCAGACAAGATAATGGAATTACACAAGAAATTAATGTAGCCAATTGTGTTCACCTCATTACCTGAATATATGCTATGGGGATATATCTGAGTTCCACTGAAGTCTGAGCAAACTACTGTTTTCTTTAAAGGGTCCAGAATTTGTCCTGAAGCCTTAACATCAGGGCTACGTCTACACTGGTCCCTTTTTCGGAAGGGGCATGCTAATTTTCAACTTCGGAATAGGGAAATCCGCAGGGGATTTAAATATCCCCCGCGGGATTTAAATAAAGATGTCCGCCGCTTTTTTTCCGGCTTGGGGAAAAGCCGGAAAAAAGCGTCTAGACTGGCCCGATCCTCCAGAATAAAGCCCTATTCCGGAGGATCTCTTATTCCTACTTCAAAGTAGGCTAAATTCAAAGTAGGAATAAGAGATCCTCTGGAATAGGGCTTTATTCCTGAGGATCGGGCCAGTCTAGACGCTTTTTTCCGGCTTTTCCCCAAGCCGGAAAAAAAGCGGCGGACATCTTTATTTAAATCCCGCGGGGGATATTTAAATCCCCTGCGGATTTCCCTATTCCAAAGTTGAAAATTAGCATGCCCCTTCCGAAAAAAGGGGCCAGTGTAGACGTAGCCCAAAGGAATAAAATTTAGAGATTAATGAAATATAGGCCAGATCCTCTATCAGAGTATATCTACATACCAAAATTATTTCAAAATAACTATCATTATTTTGAAATACCTTTGTCTGTGTCTACACAGCAGGCAGTTATTTGGAAATAATGTTGAAATACTGTCAAGCTAGAGCAGTGTTTCTCAACCTTTTTTTGATAAAGTACCCCTTTTTAAAAAAAATATAAGTACCCCCAGTACCTACAATTTTCAGACACACAATTTTTTTTCTACCATTGCAACTCATTTGAAATTTTTGGGTGTCAAAAGTACAAAAATAATAAAATGCTGTAAAACTTAAAACAAAATTTCAGTTTTCTCCAAATTTCAGTTGTGTTGACGTAACCCTCAGGCTTCTCTCGAGTACCCCTAAGGGTACTCGTATCACTGGTCGAGAAACACTGAGCTAGAGGACTTCTTACTCCAACTTCTGTAATTCTCATTGTATGAAGAATAAGGGAAGTCAGAAGAAGAGTGCTCTATTTCGAAATAAGTGCTGTATAGACACTCCCAATTTTGAAATAATTTATATCTCTTTGGCATACCCATTTACAGTAGCAGAGGATCCCTTGATCATCATGTTTTTCAGTCCATGTGATCAACTGTACATTTATATTATTATAATGGCATCAGCTGAAGTCATCCTAATTCAGTTGTATTATGATTATTGATTTACGTTTCCCTTGTGCTTCACATATAAATAAATAATGGATTCCTACAGCAAACACCAAGACCTAAGGTAAACAGATACCTAGCATCAGATTAATGTGTAGGCAAACTAGGGACATGCCTAAGACCCAAATGTATCTGGGAATAAAGGAGGGAGGCTCCCAGTCCTAAACAAGCAACCATAGAGTATATCACTGCAGTTGGACTGACCATGCTATGGATTCATCAGGACCACCTGCTCGTCCTGCTGCTATTCAGGTCACTGCTCACCAGAATGTGGGTTGCAACACCACTCATTCAAATTTGGCCCGCCTGCCCTTTTGGCATGGGTAGACAGCACAACCAGCAGCAAGTGGGTGAACAGCTAGACTGGAAGATCTCCAGCATGGTCAGCCCAGCATGCAGTAAGCATACTGTATGTTTGTTTCTTGTTATTCTTAAGGAAGCCTGTAAATATATTTTCCCTAGGACCCACTGTTGTTTTAATCCATCCCTAAAGTTACTACAGTGAAAGACTTGCTAGAAGAGTCTCAAAAGAGGAACAGACATTCATGAGATATCAAAAGTTAAAAAAAACAAAACAAAAAAGCAGAAAAAAAGACTCATGTCCAGGAATTTAAAAATCCTCTTCTGTCACCTTTGACTGAGTGAGTCTGGAATAAATGCGTCCTTAAGGGTAGACCATTCACCAGCTAAATCCTCAGGTAGTGTAAATAGCTCTGATGAAGTCAGTGAAGCCATTTGAAGTTAATAATGCTAAGACAATTTAATCTGGCCCCTGGTTGTTATTTGGATTACAGTGGTGTTTTAAGATCCAATGGAGCTCACAGCACCATTGTTCTAGGTACTATGCAAACACCTAGTAAGAGATAGTTCCTGCCCCAAAGAATTTATAGTCTAAATAGGCAAGACAAACACAGGTTGGGAGAGTAAACAGCAACAGAGAGGGGAAAGACCTACCTAGGGTCTCACAGAGAGGCTGTACAAGAGCAAGGCATAGAATCCTTATCTTCTGACTCCTAATCCAGTGCCCTCTCCCCTGGACTGTCCTATCATCTTTCAGGCTGAAGCGGTAAACACGACATAGCAAAGGACAAACTGGGTACCCAGAGGAAGGAGAAATTAAATATTTCCCCCCAAAACACAATGGCCAGAATGAATAAGACTTTCCTCAAGTGTGGGTTTTTTTGTTTGTTTTATAATACTTGTGTGGGACCAGATAGTATTTGTGCCATTAAATACCAACGAAAACAAGCTGGGTTTAATTCTAACAAATTCAAATGGGAAAACTGCCACACCTTGCTCAGGGATGCTGATAGCCTTCGCAGGCCCTTGAGCCTGCGGGTGGGCGGGGGTCTGCTCCTTATCCTGGAAGGGATGGAGCCTTGGGCGGAAGGGGCGGAGCCTTTAAATAGCAGGAGTTGAAAGGGCTCGCACCTCCCCGTTGGCTCCCAGGCAGCATGTTAGCCAGAGACGGGAGCTGCAAGCCCTTTTAATTGCTGCTGTTCTGCCAGGACTCCAGCGGTGATTTAAAGGGATCCGGTGCTCTGGCCACTGACTCTGCTGCTACTGCAGCAGCAGCATTGATAGGTACCCTGAGACCCTTTGAATTGCCAGGTCCACGTGCAATTCCCTCCTTTGCCTCCCCATCAATGGGCCTGGCCACACCACTCTAAGATCAGGTGGCAAATTCACTCACTCTTTTATATTCCAGGACTCCAGCGGTGATTTAAAGGGATCCGGTGCTCTGGCCACTGACTCTGCTGCTACTGCAGCAGCAGCATTGATAGGTACCCTGAGACCCTTTGAATTGCCAGGTCCACGTGCAATTCCCTCCTTTGCCTCCCCATCAATGGGCCTGGCCACACCACTCTAAGATCAGGTGGCAAATTCACTCACTCTTTTATATTTAACATCTTCAGCTTCGGTTATGTCTTTATCCTGATATGACAAATACAGTAGCATTTGATTTTCCAAGCCTTCATATAATTTAGCAAAGGAAGAAATGGGAATGGAAAAAAGGGTGAAACCATCCATAAGAATAAATTATCATGCAGCACCTCTTTTCTTTCTTTTATCCCTTCTGCATTTTGGTCTTAATAAGCCTATGTTGGCTTCCATCAAAAGAAAATTGTTGCTGTAAATGAATCAATGCAATGCACTCTGGAAGCCTATCTGTATCTATTCCTTTCATTCTTTCCTGTGTCTTTTTAGGATACTACCAAGGTACACTGAGCCCTTAGAATGTAACAGATTCTAATAATACTTGTGTAGGACCAGATAGTATTTGTGCCAGTAAATACCAAAGAAAACAAGCTGGGTTTAATTCTAACACATTCAAATGGGAAAACTGCCACACCTTACTCAGGGATGCTGATAGCCCTTGAGCCCGCAGATGGGTGGGGGTCTGCTCCTATTCCTGGAAGGGGTGGAGCCTTGGGTGTAACAGGGGCATAGGATATATGCACTATCCGGCATATCAGTCAGAAGCATGATATTGATTTGACCTATTGTCTTTTCAGTTGTAGGGTTTTTATAAAATCATGCTTTTGCCGAAGGTTCTTTCAGCTGCATTTAAAAATATGTTCCTTAATTTCCTTCATGCACACATTCTGCGGTTTCTTTATACCTCCTGGCTGCTTCGCAAATCTTCCAGTTCAGTAGCAGCTTTGGGTCCTTTTATTGCTGAGCGCTTCTTGTGGCGGAATTCAGCAGAAATCTCTTCAAAAGATTTTCCTTTTGTTTCAGGTACTTTAAAGTGTGTGAATAAAATGAAGCCTAAGAGCAGTACGGCGAAGATCATAAACACATAAGAGCCACACAGATCCTGTAATGGGAAAAACGAAGGAACAGTGATGAAATAATAACAGCCTATGATTTGCTTATTATTTGGATTGCAAAGGTTAAGATTTTCAAAGCAATGTAGAGAGATTTAAACACCTATTCATTTTAATATGAGACAAGTATGTCCATTCCCCTACATTGCTTTGAAAAGCCAATGTTTTGAGGGTGTTAGTTATGTGCAAGATTTTAGAAACTTTTCTTACTGCGATATACTGGAAACACATTCCAATGATGAAGTTGCAGGTCCAGTTGCAGAACCCAGCTATGGCTATAGCTGCAGGCCGTGGTCCTTGACTGAACAGTTCAGCAACAATAAACCAAGGGATTGGTCCAGGCCCAACTTCAAAGAAAATTACAAAGAGAAAAATTGCGACCATGCTCACGTAGCTCATCCAAGCAAAAGTGGTCTATAAACAGAAGCAAGTAAAAAGTGAATACAAAAAATGCGTGATTATGTTTCCAATATAGTCTTTATTATCTGTTAATTTTTTGAATTATTGTGCTGCTGCAGAAGTTTCTTGTTGCTCAAACAAGCTGAGTAAAGGCAACAGACATGCAGAATTAAACTTGTAATGCATTAAACATAGCAAACCATTTACTAGTCTCAGTTACACTGGGGGTAAATCATAAGTAGGTGCCTTAACCTGAATTGAATTACATTGGGTTCACGTTAGCGAGAAGAGGAACATGGAGACTTTTTAAAGCCACATCCACTCACCCAAACACAACTTATATCCTTATGCATCACCTCTGGATGTGATCCACTGAGCCAGATCTTTTGTTGGTGTAAATCAACATTACTTCAGTGAAGCCCCTGGAGTAATGCCAATTTTTGCTAGTTGAGGCTTTGGACCATAATGAATCTGAGTAACAGAGAAAACTAAGGGTGTATTTACACTGCAGTTGAGAATGTGTAATTGCAGGACATGTAGACATACGATTGGGTTCATTTTAGTAAGAAGAGGTGCATGGAGACTTTTTAAAGCCACATCCACTCACCCAAACACAACTTATATCCTTATGCATCACCTCTGAATGTGATCCACTGAGCCAGATCTTTAGTTGGTGTAAATCAACATTGCTTCAGTGAAGCCCCTGGAGTAATGCCAATTTTCACCAGTTGAGGCTTTGGACCATAATGAATCTGAGTGACAAGGAAACTAAGGGTGTATTTACACTGCAATTGGGAATGTGTAATTGCAGCACATGTAGACATATCCCCAAGTTAGTTTTAATCCATCCAGCAAAGCCACGGCAGCACTCTGAGAAGGCCAGCCACCTGAGAGGAGCAGGTCCCAAGTGGGTTGTTTAGCCTACACAAAAGCAAGTGCTGCCAGGGCTTCACTATTATTGGTACATAACTTACCTAGATTAAACCTAGCTTGTATACATCTGCATGTGCTGCAATCAAAGCTCTGCAGCGTACATATGCGGTTGTATCCCACAGTGAAAACCAAGGTGCAGCCACACAGAGCTACTGACTTCCTCTGCCCCAGGCTCTGCCCCCAGCTGGTCCTTTCCCCCAAGCTCCCATCCGCACTCTATCTCTTCCTGCCTCGCCCCACCTCTTTCTGCACCACCTGTCCCTGCCCAGTTCTGTCCCCTTCCACTGCATGTCCTGGCGTTGTTCCCCCCTCCCCTCCACCTTCCCCTTTACATTACATCTTAAAATGCAATTTACACCAATACACAATGAGTCTCTGATACACTCAGATTCTGTTAGGCTCAGAGGCTGAAATCCTAACTCTATTGGTATTAGTGAGAATTTTGCCATTAATTTCAATAACCCTATTATTTCACCCTTTTACACTACATTGATATATAACTTTCATAGCCTTATCCATCACCTATATGTTAGGCTCAGTGGATTTATTCTAGTTTAAGTGAGGGTAGAATTTGATTCCAAGTTCTCTGTTTGTAGCAAGATGCTCTTCTAGTATCAAAGCACAAAGTCATGAAGACTATGTCTACACTACCAGGTTATTTCAAAATAAGTTATTTCAAAATAATAACTCCTGAAATAATTATTTTGAAATAATCTTATTCCTCTTCACAAGCAGGAGTTATTTTGAAATAACAAGCCCATTATTTCAAAATAACAGGCTTGATAGGGTAGGTCTACATAGCAGGGGTAAAGTCAGAATAAGCTAAGCAACTTCAGCTATGTCAATTGTGTAGTTGAAGTCAAAATAGTTTAATTCTTCCTTTGACTTTCCTTGTTCCTCATTAAATGAGGGTTACCATGAGTTGGAGTAAGAAGTACTCCAGCTTGACTTTATTTTGAAATAAAGGCTTGTAGTCTAGACACACTCTTTGTTATTTTGGAAATAACACCAGTTATTCCAAAATAACACTGCTGTATAGATGTACCCGTAGTGTGGATGCTCGCCTTGTTAACTCCCAGTGTAGACATGCCCAAAGACACAGATTTAATTATACTGGGACAAATTTTGCCCTTACTAGTGAGGAGAGAATCTCAAGTGGTTCAGATCCTCCACCAAAATGCACATTCACCTCTGAATCCCCCTGTAGTCTAATGTTCTAGCCTGTCCCTAATTCCAAAGAAAGGTTCCCACTCTATCAAGGTTATGTCTAGCCTGCAGGCTTCTTTCAAAAGAGGCGCTTTCGAAAGATACTTTCGAAAGCGCCTCTTTCGAAAGAGCGCGTCTAGACTGCACGTTGAACTTTCGAAAAAGCGGCTTGCTTTTTCGAAAGAAAGCATCCAGTGAGTCTGGATGCTCTCTTTCGAAGAAGCCCTATTTACATTGAAGAACGCCTTCTTTCGAAAGAGGAACTTTCGAAAGAAGGCGTTCTTCCTCGTGAAATGAGGTTTACCGCCATCGAAAGAAAAGCCGCGTTCTTTCGATTTAATTTCGAAAGAACGCGGCTTGAGTCTGGACGCAGGGGAAGTTTTTTCGGAAAAAGGCTACTTTTCCCGAAAAAAACCCTGAGTCTGGACACAGCCCTGGTCTGAAAACTGCAAAGTATAGAAACTAGAGACAAGTCAGAGCCAAAATACTTCTAGAAAATAGCTTCTATAAAACATGAAGGTGCACACGTCTGTAATTTGTAGCTCAGGTTTATAAGAAGAATATGGGAAGTGTCATCCAGAACAGACCAGTGTTCCCTCTAAGCTGAGGGGCAGCACAGTATCATAGGCGATTAATCAGTCAGAGGCTCAGGATTCCATGCACAGAGTTGACTGACTGGGCGGGGCTGATTAACCACCTGTGAAGCTGTGTGGCCCCTCAGCTTAGAGGGAACACTGGGATCCAGTGAGGCTAGTGCCTGATTATTCATAGCGTAAAGCCAACGGACTCAGGTCATTGTCAGGAGGGATTGAACCTGTGACTACAGGGGCTAACTCCATGTGCATCTACAGCATGAGCTAAAAGCTGACTACCTCTTAGCTACCTCTGTAGACCAGACTTGACTCTTCCTTTGCAATGGTCTCAGTGCCTCCGTGGGTGTGTCTAAATTACATGGCTCCATTGATAGAGCCATGTAGATTAGGCTGATCGGCAAAGGGAAATAAAGCCACAATTTAAATAATCGCGGCTTCATTTAAATTTAAATCAAATGTTATGATGAGCACTCCCTAATGAAAAATATGCTATTCTTGTGTGTGCACATATTTTGGATCCTGAGATTTCCTTCTTTTTATTTCTTCATCCTTCAAATTTCCCATATTATACTTACCCTTCTAGCAGCTGAAGAAGATAAGAAACTGCTCCCTGTGAAGTCAGTCTTCACTGCATGGCCAGTAAGTATTCTTGCGGTCAAGGAATTGGACTCCACTGTAATGAGTGCAAACATGATTTTTCTTGAGGCTGCTGGATTCAGACTAAGGGCTTGTCTATAGGGCAGGTTAGTAGTTGGCATGCATAGGTGAGAATCTGCAATGTGCCAGCTTGCCACTCGCTAATGTTTCATGTGCACCCTGTTACAGTGCACTGAAAGTTCTGTAGTGTGCTTTGCCATACTACCACTTCAAACAGCAGTACATCAAAAGACACTGTAAAACTTCTAATGTGCTGGAACAAGGTTGGCATAGAAAACTAGTGCGCAGCAAGCTAGTAAACTAAAAATTCACACCCAGGCTTGCCACACACTAAATCACTGTGGCTACACCTAGACTGACACGATTTTCCGCAAATGCTTTTAATGGAAAAGTTTTTCCATTAAAAGCATTTGCGGAAAAGAGCATCTAGATTGTCACGGACGCTTTTCCGCAAAAGCACTTTTTGCGAAAAGTGTCTGTGCCAATCTAGACGCAGTTTTGCGCAAGAAAGCCCTGATGGCCATTTTCGCGATCGGGGCTTTTTTGCGCAAAACAATACCGCGTTGTCTACACTGGACCTCTTGCGCAAAAGCATTTGCGCAAGAGGGCTTTTGCCCGAACGGGAGCAGCATAGTATTTCCACAAGAACACTGACAATCTTACATGAGATCATCAGTGTTCTTGTGGAAATTCAAGTGGCCAGTGTAGCCAGCTGGCAAGTTTTTCCACAAAAGCACTTGCTTTTGCGGAAAAACTTGCCAGTCTAGACACAGCCAGGTTGTGTGAGATCATCTCACAAAGTAAGCGTGAGCTGGGAGTTCAACATGTGATTTGGATGATTCTTATGAAACTGTGCATGAGCATGGGCAGCTGGTATGCTAGGGTGGGGAAAGGCACTGCCTTCCCAGACAGCCATCTTGGCCCCACCTATTGTCCACCCTCAGAACAGCTACTTTAGGTGTACTGGGGGCAGAGTGTTGCTGCCCCCAGTACCTGCACTCTCCGGGCACTGGGGCCAGGGATGCTGGGGCGGCATGCTCTTGGGGCCCTGCCCCGCCCGCCCCTCCCCATGGTGGTGGTGGTGGGGTTAGGGCTGCATGCCACCCCACCTCCCCGTGGTGCTGGGGGAGACAGCTTGCCTCCCATGGGGCCAGAGCCTGGACAGAGGAGGCAGGGCTGGGGACTTGCCTCCTCCAGCCCTACCTTCACCCACCACCCATGTGCGTGAGGGAGGATTATTTTCTGATTTTCTTATCTGGAATAAATGTGCAACACAACGTTAAATAGAGTCACTGGCAATATGTATGGAAACAGACAATAAAACAAGCCATGGAATGAAACTAGGAATAAGAAACCTTACCAGGAGAACAAGTCCAACTGTCATGGCTATGGCACTTACTAGCATACCAGCCAAGCCAGCAATAAACAGGGAACGTCTCCCTGCTTTCTCTACAAGGAAGACCTGTAGAAATTCATGGAATATATTAGGCTTTATCAATCCTGAAGTTTTCAGTTAGTAATATATAAAACCTACATCAAGTCACCTTTCAGAAATTAGCCTTCATAGGTTGTGACAGCCTACTACTGCTATCAGCTAATGGTGTTCTTTTAACTCATGTTAGAGGTTTGCACTTTGGTTCCTTTATTTACACTATGCTGATATCCGCTGGTGGGGATTATTAATTAGCTATTGTACATAGCAACACAGCAAAAGACAATGCAAATTTATGGATCGAGCCCTGCAAGTCCACGGATATTTGCTTTATATCTATGGACATCCGCATCTGCAGATGTGAATGCAGATATCTGTGGCTCATTTTTGCAGGTATGTATGCCAAAGCAGATACAAATTTTGTATCTAGAACCCTGTAAATTTGCAGATACCCACTTTATATCTACAGATAGCCATATCTGGGAGTTTCATTGTGGATATCCACAACTCATTTTTGCAGACATAGTTGCTGATGCAGATACAAAACTTTATATCTGCAGGGCTCTATCTATAGATGTGTAGAACTCACACATTCCAAAGACTGATGGTCTCTCCATGGATTTCTCACACAGGTTATTTTCCAAGGATTCTAGCCTTCCAATTTGGAAGGAAAAAAAACCATGATCCTTCTTATTTTGAAGATTATCTTCCCAATTTACCACAGAAATCTGGGGTGGAGAGAGAGAGAGAGAGAGAGAGAGAGAGAGAGAGAGAGAGAGAGGCTTTGTCCATATTGGAGAAGATTGTCGTCACTGGTGCAAGCAGGTGGTATAGATGGGGGTCATCAGTTTAAATTGTGGCTGGCATAAATGCAACTTCTCTTGCTTTCAATTGGAACGTTTCTCTGATAAAGGTGCCACGGTGATCCTTTACATTTACCAGCCCATTGAAAAGCTTACACCTCTTTTGGGGCTATTTTACCAGACTAACCTTCTCTACATTGGGAATGTTAATCCAACTGGATACACTGCAACTATGAAGTTTCAAACTAGGGATAGTTTATGCTTGCTAATATGCATACCAGCTAATTGGCCCTTGCCACTTAATGCTGGTGGTGGCCAGCTGAGCCTGGCCACTGCAGCCCAGCCATAGGACCCATGAGGCTGGTGGCAGGACCACATAGCTATAGCTGCAGTGGAGCCAGGTGGCAGGACCTCAGTTAAAACAGTTAATCGATTAAGCACTTATAATTTAACTAATTAACTGTTAACCATTTAAACATCTTTATTTCAACCCAGGATAACATGCACTAGACAAGTAATGGCTTATGCTAACGTACAAGGTCTATTCTAGGGTTTGCACGAGTGAAGCTGCATCAGGGTATGTCTACACATCAAACACTAGACCAGACCAGCTGCACTGTGGTACCTGCACCACTGCAGCGCTTCTGTGTAGACACTAGGGATTCTCCTCTGAGCATTGGTAGTCCATGTGTAACCCACACATGTTCACTGTCCTATGTACTAGCACCTAGGCCACTCACACATGTTCTTGACCGTCTGTCAGTGTAGTAGTCTATACCAATAGTTAGGTCATACAGCTGCATCTCTCAAGACATCACACCCCTGAGAGACATAGTTACACCAAAGTATACCAGGTGTCAGTCTATCTACTGATTTCTGCAGATCATCTCAAAACTTGCTCCACCCACGAGTCCCAGACTGGCCTCTCTTCCTGGGGCCAGGAATACATCTTGCCTTCTACACGGCACTATGTAGCAGCCACCCTGAGACATGACCATTGTTTTCCTAGAGGTTAAATGGGGCTTTTCTCTCAAGCACTAGAGTCCTCACAAGTTCATTGCACTAACCCACTGGCTTACAGAAATCAAGTCCTGATTGCTATCTCTCCTCCTTTTGTCAAGGTCCAACTCAGTGCAAACGTGGTCACAGAGTGGGTCTCTAGTTGATTGGAAAATTTTAGATAATATGTAAATACTCATGGTCAAAAAATTAAAGAGCAAATATCACTAGATAGCAAGCTAAACATGCCTGTGCTGTAGAAGAACATACACAGGAACTCATTTCTCCCACCCCAATTTCAAAATAAACTACACGAACTATCTTCTTATCTGGGATGCTGGTGTTTTTTCATGAAAGCAATTTTGTCCAGGGTGGTTAGTTAGAGTGGCTTATGAGCTTTGTGATAATATACTACACTGTAGCTACAGCTATATATTGCGGATTCAAATCCAGTCCTGACTGGTAGTGGGTGAAAGTCATCGCCCTCAGAAGACTATTTGGAGACCTACAGAAAATGATTTCGTTTTCTGTATCTAGTTCCTGTTGTTTAAATGTTCTTATGAAGAGAACCTCAGTTAGGGTACATCTAGACTACAGGCTTTTGTCGACAGAGGCTTTGTCGACAGATACTGTTCACAAAGCTTCTGTCAACAAAGAGCATCTAGACTACATCCAGTTCTGTCGGCAAAGCAAGCTGCTTTGTCAACATGAGAGTGTAAATGCAAAGGACAGTGTAGATGCAATAACGCCTTCTGTTGACAGAACTCTGTCGACAAAAGACATCATTCCTCATAGAATGAGGTTTACCGCCGTCGACAAAACTGCCGAGTTCTGTCAACATTATGTCGACAGAACTCGGCGATAGTGTAGATCCAGGTATAGTTTTGTCGACAAAAGTCCACTTTTGTCGACAAAACTCTGTAGTCTAGACACACCCTTAGTTACTAGCTGGAATTCTGTTGGCATTCTGGGCAGAAAGACTGTTGACCAAATGGACCATGAAGACTGAACCATCCTCTTGTTCCAGGATGGGTGTTATATAAATATAATAGAATATCGGAGATAAGACAGTGTTCAAGGCACATTGGCAGGGCAAAAATGAAAAGCATTCACCAGTGTTATTCACACTGTAGCTGCTCTATAGACAAAACCATAAGCAAGAGGTCTTCCGTTTCCAGGACTCCAATTGACAACTGACAAGTTTTATTGCAGAAAACACAAACCAATAGAGGTTCATGATTTGAACAGAATCAGGCAAAGTTTTCATTCTCTGTACATTTGAC